TTATTTTATTGTAAGGATGCTGTACAGAGGAGTTACAGTTATATAAGTAAGGTAATGAGTACATTTCTTGTCGAATGAACATTGTTATGCTCTCCTTTGGTTTTTTCCTACTGTCTCTTCCCTATCCCCTCCCCCCCCCCCCCCCGCCCCCCGCCAAAGTTGTAAAGATCATTTCCAACATAGTGTCTTGTGAGTATCATTGTTGCAGTGGGTCATCCTGTGTCCTTGTTTGGACATTTTGTTATTCCCCTTCCCCTCCCCAAATTAGATAAAAGTATATACAAGATTCAGGGTACCAAAATCAAATACAGTCACAACGGGAGATATACCATAGGAGGAAGAACATCGCCCCATTTGTTAGGAAATGGAAAGACTTGGAAAAAATCATATTAAGTGAACGTAAGCCAGACCCAAAGAAATTAGGTCCTATGGTGTCCTTTATTTGCAATAACTAGTATACGTTTAGGATACTCTTATCAGATGAGCAGAAAAGCTCAAAAACTATGTACGTATGACCATATAAGATGATGCTAAGCAAAATGAACCACAAGATATGGACACAAGAAGTTTTTCTTCGTTGTTGTTGTTGTTTAACGTACTATGTGATTTTTTTGGTTTCTTTTGAAAGAGTACATTTCCTTTTGGACAATATCATTCCTTCCCTTGTTCTCTCACAGTTTTCCCTCCTGTCTCTACCCACAAGTTGTATAGTTCATTTTCAGCATAGTGTCTGGTGAGTGCTACTGCTGCATTTGTTCACCCTTTGTGCCTCCATTTCTGTGTGTTTATAAGGGATTTGGAGATTCAGGGGCTGCACACACACTGCTCCTTCTTCTATCTACCTCCTTCCAAATTGCTTGCTTGCTCTCATCTTGTTTAGAATTCTTTCCTAGGACTGGAGATATAGCTTAGGGGTAGAACCCTTGCCTAGCATGTGTGAGGTCCTAGGTTCAATCCTCGACACAGCAAGAAAAAAAAAAGAGAGAGAATACTTTCCAAATATAAACACCCCCAGCGAAGGCCTACAGGAGACCTGGCAACCACCCAAAGTGGAGGGCAGGACTCCTAGCTCCAGGCTGTGAGGTGTGAGGCCTTTGGAGGATGACTCAGGCTAGCTGTCTTGCTTTCCAGACCCAGCTCAGCCTCCTTCTAGCTTGCACGTTGATCTCATCATCCCCAAACATGCGGATTATGATCGTTTACTTGTTAAAGACTGGTTAGAAGCTTGCTCACAGGCCCTGAGAGGCACCAGAGCTGTGGAATCAGGCTCTCCTGAGACCCTCATTTGCAGGGAGATGGCAGTTGAGGCTGGCTCACACCCAGCAAGCCTCAGAGCCAGCTGTGCTGAGGCAGCATGTGCTAAAAATAACCACCGTGTCTTGCAGGGATACAGGCAGCGGAGGCAGATGGGAGTAGGGAAAGAAAAGGCGGGTTCCTCATCCACCACCAGGACTCCCCACCTTTAACATGTGTGCCTGCAGGTGGAGGGGAATTCTCCCATCCCCAAACTCCAACAGACTTTGGCTGCAGACTCTGTGGGGAAGGCAGGGCCTGCTTCCTCCAGCCAAGTGCATGGAAAAGCCCTCTAGTGCTGTCCAGTGGCAATATAATGTGAGTTACAGATGAGGTTGAAATTCTCTAGGAAGCCACGTTAAATATGTATTCAATATGCATTATTGAATCTATCTACAATTTTATTGTTTCATGAAATAAATTATCCTTTATTACGTACATATACAATATTATCTATCTATCTATCTATCCTCTTCCAAACCTGCAATATGTTTTAGATTGACAGCACAATCTTAATTTGGTCCAGGCACAGTTTAGGAGTTGAGTCAGCTTCATGCGGCTGTTCTATCACATGACCACAAGCTTAGTGGCTCAAAACAGCCTCCAATTCTGGAGGCTGAAATGACATGGACGGGGTAAAATTTGGGTGTTTTCCAGCCTGTGTTCCTTCTGGAAGGTCTAACCGAGAGCTTGTTCCTTGTCCTTTCCAGCCTGCGGTCTGTGGCTCATGGACTCTTCCTCCATCTTCAAATGCAGCTTTGATTGCTACCTCACTCTGTTTCTGTTGCTTCTTTGCCTTTTCTGCATTGGGCTCTTCTGATTCTGACAGAACAAGAGCTGGGACTAGATTATTGGTCTCTAACACACATTCATGATAAATGCCAGGGTAAGGCTTGAGGTCATGATCTCAAATGACCTGCCTCCTGACCTGAGGAACACAGATCATGGATTGTGATCAAGGAGGCTGTCATGTGGGACTGTGAGGGTTTGTCAGGCCAGACTCTTTGCTTCCCAAGAAGCAGGGGCCCAGCTTGAGCAAAGACACTACCACAGTTCCCACTGGAAGAGCCACCCCCAGTCAAGGCTCTTTGTATCCAGAATCTGACACGATCAGTGCTTGAGGCCTGTAACTAGCACCAACACCTTGTTCACTGTGTAGAGATCAAGAAACAGCAAGCCACTGGCTAATGTCATACAGAAGAGGATGGGATCTCTGGCAATCGATGACCTTGGGGGTGACCTTAGCATCCCCACTGACAGAAGCTGTTTCCCCAAAGTCGCAGACTTTTATGCAGCCAGTGGCCCTGTATAGAACTTGTATCTCCTCTGAGCTCTTCTTCTTCTTCTTTTTTTTACCTGTGCAAAAGATTAGAGTTCCTGTTGCTGGAGGAATTGATCTCACTGCCCTGGGAAGTTGAGAGCAGATGGTAGGGAAAGAGAGTGGCTCAGCTGATGTCATCTTCATCTGAGAGGCCAAACTATGGATCCTACCTGGTGACCTTTCCCAGGGTCTGCCCAGCTCTGGATGGTGACAGGTCACTGCCTGTGCAGTGGTTAGTTGGGACAATTCTAATGATAGTACCATTGCAGAGCCTAGATTCTCCAAGGAGAAAAATGCCTTGAAATGAGTGGGAGTCAAGGAAAGGACCCAACAGAGGAGTCTGCCATTGGTTCTGGTGATTTGTGACATTCAGATTTATTTCTCTGGAGTCATCCCCAAGCCCCATCTGTGCCACACGAACGTGCTTTGTGTCAACACACATGCATCCCAGATGCTGAGGTAGCAAATGAGATCCAGGTCCTGGCAAAGCGTTGCTGGCCCAGCAGCAGCTCCCCTGACTTCATCCATCCTGCCCCTTTTCTGGGTTGTCATCACTCCCACCCAAGTTGCTCCTGGGGGCAAAGCACTGCAGACGGAAGGTGCCTCCCCTGGAGAGGGAAGACGGAGGGCTGGCAGCTGGCCCAGGACACATGTCACGTCACTTTCATGGATCTCTGTCTCTTTTTCTCTGCCTCTCTCTGCCTCTGTCTCTGTCTCTGTCTCTCTCTCTCTCTCTGTCTCCCTCTGTCTCTCTCTGTCTCTCTCGGGTACAACTGTAGAGCTTCTGGTTATGGAAGCAGAAACCTGCCTATTGGCTATGTGACCTGGGGAAAATTACCTGACCTCTCTGAATTGGTTTCTTCATCTATCAAATAAGGAAAACAGATACTCAGTGTGATACTTAAGAGAAGTATGTTAAATGATGCTAATAAATGACACCAATAAGTGAGAGCTGTTATCATTTTGTGATGGCTTTTTAAAAATTAATTTTTGTCTGTGCAGAACTCAAAGTAGATCTTTTTTTTTGGGGGGGGGGTCTGGTCATGGGGCCTGAAACTCTGGGCCTGGGCGCTGTCCCTCAGCTCTTCAGCTCAAGGCTAGCACTCTACCACTTGAGCCACAGTGGCACTTCCGGCCTTTTCTGCTTATGTGGTGCTGAGGAATCAAACCCAGGGCCTCATGCATGCAAGGCAAGTGCTCTACCACTGAGCCACCTTCCCAGCCCTCAAAGTGGATCTTATACATCATGGCTATGCCTCTTGTACTTTCCTCGCATGTGCTGGCTCATCACTCACCAGACCTTGACTTGGTTGGAACCTAGCCTAGGCTGATCTTACTTAATTCCTGTCTCTTGGCCCATATGTAAGCTTGGATAAGTGATTGTTTTTTTCCTTGGAGGTACTGAGCTTGAACTCAGGTCTTTGTGCTTCTTGGGCAGGTGTTGTACCATTTGAGCCACATTTCTAGTCCCTTTGCCTCTGGTTCTTTTTGAAATAGTGTCTTTTGTCTAGGCTAGCCCAGGCTACAATCTTAGTTCCATTTCCTGCTGTGGCACAGATGACAGGTATGTACCACCATGCTCAGCTATTGGCTGAAAAAGAGTCTCTTGAACTTTTTGCCTAGACTGGCATGGACCTGCAAAACTCCGAATCTTAGCCTCTGGAGTAGCTAGAATGACTGCTGACATGAGCCACTAGTGCCTGATTCTTGGATGAGAGACAAATCCTGCCATGGCAGGTAGGCGGCAGTGCTGTGCTCCCTTTCTCTCTCCCTCCCTCACCCTCCCTCCCCCCCCCCCCCCCCCCTCCCCGTGACTCTCCTGTGTCTTGTGTGGTCATAGAACCCAATGTGGGAGGCAGATGTGGATTGCCCCATTATAGAGAAGAGGAAACAGAGACGAAGAAGAAATGTTTTGATCTTGCGATCAGAGGGGATGCTCTTGCCAGTAGGGTGACCTCTCATGTCCCTTGCAAAACTGTGGCACTGCCTTGAACCCAACAATGGCTTTCATTCTCAGTCATGGCTCAAGACAACCAACTCACACCACCACACATCATGAAAACTTAAAAAGAGCTAGGTACCAGTGGCTCATGCCTGTAATCCCAGCTACCCAGGAAGCTGAGATCTGAGGATCACAAGTTCAAAGTTGGCCTGGGCAGGAAAGTCCATGAGATCTTATCTCCAATTAACCACCAAAAGCCAGAAGTGGAGCTGTGACTCAAGTGGTAGAGCACTAGCCTTGAGCACAAAAAAAGCTCAGGGACAACACTCAAGCTGTGAATTCAAGCCCCAGGACTGGCATACACACACACATACACACACACACTCATGCATGCACACATGCACACGCACACACACACATACACACACAGAAAACTTCAAAAGAGATTTTTTAAAGAGTTGTTTCTTTGGTTTCATACATACTTAAAAGGACAACCTTCGCCAAGCAGCTCAGATGCCCTGGTCAGTCAATGGAGGGAAGTGAACACTGAGGTGATTGGGATTCTAGAAAGCACCAAGACAGGGGGCTTGAGGCAGAAAAGTGGAAAGTTGATGACTTCCCCAGTGCCACCACACCTGCATATTCCTTCTGGCTATTCCTGGGAGCTCACTGGAGGCACAGATGCCAGAGTCTGTGTGTGCTCCTGCGTGCTGGGAAGCTGGGCTGCTAGGCCCAGGGAACAGGTGCATGTGGGCCACCTAGTCCACCTGGAGATGCTGTGGGTAGGTGAGGAGCCAGAAGGCACGAGGCTCCAGTGTTCCCAGGAGCCCCAATGGGTCTAGGCCTTGCCTGGGCCAGGAGGCCAAAATTATGAATCTCTTGGTTGTAAGAAACATTAAAGATGGTCAAATCCAACCTCTAGCTCGGTGCCCTTCCCCAAGCTTAGCTCTTTGGCTTTACCTGTTCACCTCTAATGATGGAGAACTCAGTTCAGTTTGAATTCACAGTAGTCCCATCCCTTTCCACCCCCTGGGCCGGGTCTGAGTCTGAGCAGGGAGAATGAGCAAGTTTCTATTTCTCCATGGGCCCTATGAGACCCTCCTATCCTGAGAACGTCCCTGCCCAGGCCCCATTGCTCTGGCTCACTGTGATGCCTCAGGCTGGGTCTAGCTTTTCCCAATCTTGATGGAAAATGGCCTCAACATTCAGGGCTGCCTCTCCGCGATGAGTGGTCTGTGAGGAGGGGAGCAATTGTGCTGTCTGCTTCAGAGCCCTCTGTCTTTGTGGGCACAGCCCAAAGTCCCTGCATCTTGATAGCAGCCATAGTCAACTTGTCTGTCCAGGCTATGTCCCAGAACTGCAGGCATGAAGGGCTATCTGCCAATCACTTTGCTAAGCCCTGAGTCGGAGTCTTTTCTCAGGAACCCCAGTGGCTTTAAGAACTGGTGTCCACAATGCACTTGAGGAACATCGTGTCGTCCTTCACGTAGGCATGCTTGGGTGACTGCAGCTTGTTCAGGGGGAAGAACAATGGGCAGCCGCTGGCCACATTGGTTTCGGTCTGAGGCCTCTGGAAGGAGGCTGAGCTGAGGTCGGGCCTGAAGGCATCGATGGCATGCTCGCGGTTGTTCTGGTCGAGTAGCATGAAGGTGACCTGTGGGGCAGGGGCAGATGGAGATGATGAGGCTCAGGGTGACAACACTGAGACTTGGAGGGTGGGATGTACTGGCTCCGAGAGCCCTGGGCCTGCTGCCTGTGGAACCCGCTGACGCTTAGTTCAGAATGCTCAGGAATCAGAGGAGCAACAGTAGGACTGGAGCAGAGTTACATCAGGACCCGGAAAAAGGAAGCCTGGGGTATTCTCTGATTAGGATCAGCTGACCCATCTAGCAGGAAGTGTGGGGATTCTGATGCCCTGGTCAAGTCTGATGGGGTACTGACAGGGAAACTAGACCCAGAAAATCTAGACTTGGAAAGTCTGGATTCATCAACTACAAGCTGGCAGTCCTGGGCTCCAGAAGAGGGGCAAGAAAAGGCCTTTCACTGAGGGGCCATCAACCAGGCCTGGAGACAGCTGGTGCATGCATGGTACACACAAGAGCACATGGAGGTGCTCCTAAGACGCTGCTCATCTGAGCCCGACACCAGCCTTCTTCCCTCACCTGTCAGGAAGCCACTTGTCCCCACGTTAGAATCCCCAGGGGAGGCTCAGGCTGCACCATGGACTAGGGTTGAGCCTCCACTGCTGGTATTTTTTAAATGTCCCTAGCATCTTTAGCAACTATTGCCTAATGACTCATAGACAGAGCCACCTGGCTCACCCACCTAGTTTCCAAGCCAACCAAGGTCTGTGGTCTTCTTCTTCTTTTTTTGGTTAGTCGTGGGGCTTGGACTAGGCCTGGGCACTATCCCTGAGCTCTTCAGCTCAAGTTGAGCACTCTACCACTTTAGCCACAGTGCCACTTCTGGTTTTCTGGAGATAAGAGTCTCATGGACTTTCCTGCCTGGGCTGATTTTGAACCATGATCCTCAGATCTCAGCCTCCTGAGTAGCTAGGATTCCAGGTGTGAGCCACCAGCACCTGGCAAGGTCTGGGTCTTGATGCTCTCTCTCCTCAATGCTGCGGGCACCAGTAAGAATTGTCTAGAGTCCTCCCATTAGCCTTCTTTTTATTTTGTAAAATTTTTATTCTTTTTGTCAGTCTTGGAGCTTGAACTCACTGAGGCCTGGGTACTGTCCCTGAGCATTTTTGCTCAAGGTTAGCACTCTACCACTTTGAGCCATAGGTCCATGCCTGGTTTTTAGGTGTTTAATTGGGAATAAGAGTCTCACGGACTTTTCCTGCCGGGGGCTGGCTTTGAACCGCCATCCTCAGATCTCTGCCTCCTGAGAAGCTAGGATGACAGGTGTGAGCCTCCAGTGCCCAGCCTCCATCAGCCCTCTTTGAGAACAACCGAATAGGCCTGGGAAAGTAGCATGGCAGCATAGCTCTTACTTAGCGTGAGGCCAAGGGGTTGATTGACAGCTGTGGAGGTCTGTTTATAAAAAGACTTTTGTTGCACATACCTGTAATCCCAGCAATGGTAACCTCTCTATACTTTAATAATAACAATAAAATTATATTTTAAAAAGCCTTTTTATTTTCTGTACTGGAAACTGAACCCAGAAACTTCTCCAGGAACTACAACCCTTTTGTTTTTGTTTTTCTTTTCTTTCCTTCTTTCTTTTTTTTTTCCTTTCTTTTTCATTCTTTCTTTTTTCTAGCTCTCTCTCTGTTTTTTCTCTTTGGTGGTACTGGGGATTGATCTGAGGGTGTTTTACTTGCTAGGCAAATGTTCTATCACTGAAGCCATATCATTAATCTTTCTACTTTTAGTCTGTTTTTAAGATAGTGTCTTGCACTTTTACCTAATCTGGCTTCAGATTGTGATCCTCCTATTATTGCCTCTGAAGTAGCTTGGATTACAGGTGTACACTACTGTGCCAGCCTATTTACATGGATTTTTTTTTTTTTTTTTGGTCTGTAGTGGGGCTTGAACTCTGGGCCTGAGTGCTGTCCCTCAGTTCTTCAGCTCAAGGCAAGCGCCCTACCACTTGAGCCACAGCGCCACTTCCAGTTTTCTGGTGGTTTATTGGAGATAAGAGTCTCACGGAGTTTCCTGCCAGGGCTGGCTTTGAACCGTGATCCTCAGATCTCAGTCTCTTGAGTAGCTAAGATTACAGGCATGAGCCGCCAGCGCCGGCTTTCCAATTTTCTTTTAAGGCTTTGATAATGCATTTCTTTTTAGCACTGAATAATTTGTCATTGCTTACATATACCACAGTTTATCCACTCAGTTATTAAAGGTCATCCTGGTATTTATAAATTTTGGCTTTTTGATTTTTGTATTGGTACCAGCGTTTGAACTCAGGGTCAGTCTTGTACTTTTACTTGGCTAACTCACATGAATGGCTGGCACTCAACCACTTGAGCCATGCCTCCAGTGTGCCATTTTGCTAGTTAACTGGAGATGGGATCTCATGGAGTTTTCAGTCTGGGTTGTCTTTGAAAATTGATCCTCCAGATCTCAGCCTCCTGAGTAGCTAGGATTATATTCACAAGCTGTCAGCACCTGGCTTGTGTGTAGACATGAGTTTTAAAGTCCTTTAGGTAAATATCAGGGGGCAGTTGATGGCTGAGTAGAAAAGTAAAAATACGTTCGTTTAGTTTTATAAAAAAACAAAAACAAAAACAAAACTAACTAATTTATCTTCCAAAGAGGCTATGGCTGTCCGTGAGAAGTGTGGCTTATGATATTGTACGGCCCTGGCTGTCCGTGAGAGGTGCTCCTACCCCACAGGCTGGGAGGATGTGGTGTTGGTGGCCAGCCTCACACACAGACCTTCCTCCATGCAAGCTCTCCTTGCCCCCTCCACATTCTGAACTACATTTTTGTATGCCCTTGGGGAGCCCTCTCCTCTTGGGCTTGGATCTGAGGTTGACTTCCTGTTTTGTAATGTAAAAGGAAACTGTTGACACAGGCGGGCAGAGGCCTTGCTAGCTCACAGGTCCAGTGTGTGACAAAACCCGGACATATAAAAACCATCTTATCATTTCCCCAGGGCTCTCACCTTGTTCCTGAAAGGCCATGGCAGCAGGGCATCATACTCCCCTCTCATGATCACGATGAAGAGGGACAAGTGGGTCCTCTTGCCCGTGCCATCCCCGTTCAGGTACAGCCGCAGGCACAACTTGTAGCCGTACTTGGCCGTGTAGAAAGCTGAAAGGTGGAGCCAGAGTTAGCCCAAGAGGGAGAGCTAAGCAGCACTGGGCTTTGCAGTTGAGGATACCTGGATGAAGTGGTCAGATGTGGCAAGGACAGAGGCTCAGCATAAGGAAAGCTGGGTTTGGCAGCCAGCCTTCTCAGTGAGAATGCCAAGGAGAGATGCTTTCTTGGGGTCATCTTGCTTGGTGGTTGTAATTGGCTTGATCACAGACAGGGGGCCCCAGGCTGAGATTCTGGCTCAGCAGTGCTAGATGAATACTAAGTAACTTCAAGCTTTCAGGGACACCAGTACCCCTGACCTGGGAAGCACATTTGAGCTATGGCCTACGGTATGGAAAGAAGCCAGTAAGAGGAAGTGGCTAGCCACCATTACAGTGTGCTGAGGGCAGAGCCAGGATTAGGGGCTCCAATACCAGTTCTCTCAGTTGCTCTGGGTCCATGGTTGGAACACCCAGGAAGCTGGGGTGAGGGGAGCTCATGGGTCTTACAATCACCCTAGGCAGAGGCCCCTGAGGGGGTGAGTCAGCCCTGAAGATTAAGTGCAGAAATCCCTGGGGTTTTCTCTCTGACAAGCCAAAAAGTCCGTCCAATCAGAACAGAAGTTCCTGCAGCTGTAACCTCCGGTGACAAGTCCCTAGGTAGAGACAGGGTGTATGAGGGCATGGGGGAGGGGCAGAAAGGGGGCAGAGGAGGGGGAGGCCAACAGTCTGACTCATCTCTGCCCACTACATGTTGGCAGAACAGGAAACCAGAGCATGGTTTGTAGAAACGGGAGTAAGTGCTTGCATTTCCTCTCTTTAGAAAAGACTAAGGACAAAAGTCTGCTGGTAGAACTCAAGGCCACTTGAGGCACAGAAACCCAGGCCTGCTCTGGGATGAGTGCAAATTCTGCCTCTCACCATCATCCCATCTCTGTTGATCTTAATGCCCTGGAAGAGCCAGTGAGCACGAAAAGTGCAAAAGCTCAACAGATTTGCCAGCTCCTTCTTTACCCCCACCCCATACACTCAGACACAAGGGAGTGATGCTAGGGTGGGCCTGAGTCCTGGCTCTGCACCTGGCTTCTGTGCAGATCTAGGTAGAGAGTCTGCCCTCCTAAGCCTTAGTTTACTTATCTGTAAATGATGTTGAGACAACAGGTACTTGGTGAGGGTTTGAGATCCTGTGTCCAATACTAGAGTATGATGTGAGTTATAAACATATACATATACAATCCATATATCCATATATGTATATCCATATATACATACACATATATAAATATATAAGAATATTTCATGCCCAATTATATGCAAAAAAACCCCACACTGATGAAGTAACTGTTTCATGCAAGTCACCATGCCAAGCCCAGCCACGCAGAAATGACTAAGAACCAGTGACCAGTGACCACAATGGACATTCACAAGGAGTCCACAGTCATATGCAAATGTAGGTAAGTCTGACTCCATTCTGTATTTCTTACTGTAGATGGCTTGCTGCCTGGAGGTGGCATCCTACAGTATCACCTGTGGACATCCTATCTGAGCCCCTCTAACTTGCACAAGCTCGTATGGGCTCCTTTCTTTTATAATCTGATAGCCATATGCAGAAAGTAGATAAGGATTTTTATTCCTATTTGCATTCTGTAAATAGGATTCAGGGAAGAGAAATGCCCGCCCAAGCTCCAATATCTGCAGGTTGTAGCATCATCCACACACTACCCCCACAGTTCCTGGATGGAGACGGACTTAACTGGAGCACTGCTCCTATGTTGGCTGTTCTTACTTCCTATTTCCTGGATGCTGGGGGAAAGGGGGGGGGGAGGAGTCTGTTCATCTAGTGGGTCTCTGTGCCCTTGGGGTGTTACCTGGGGAGAAGAGGCTCATGGTCCTGCCACAAGCTGACTCATGGCAGCGTCTGGTGACGTTGGTGATCTTCCACAGGAAGGTACCATCAAAGCAGGCCTCCTCCATGAGGCGCAGGCTCTGCTCTAGCTTGCCCAAGGCCTGGTCTTTCTGGGCCAGTGTCTGCTGCAATTCCACCACCTGTGGGGAAACTAAGTCAGCTAAGGAGATCAGAGCCGTTTCAGGGTCAGAGGGGAATGGTGAGGTATGGGGATAAGTCTGCCCTAGATACAACTTTTTGTCCCATGTACATTCACATGGCTGCTCTGTAGGGCATTTCTCTCCCCTCCCTTTCCACTAGTCAATTCCTTATGATCCATCCGGAGTCCTGTGGCCCTGCCTGTGTAAACCTTCAGTTTCAATCCTAGCTCAGCTGGTCACTCTAACCTGAGTTCTCACAATGGGTTGATACGGTATATTTTCTGTCTCTCCTTCTAGGTGGTCTCCCCTTGTGAGCTGTGCCCCTGTTCATTTGATTTCCATCTGGGCCTTGCACAGTGCTAGGCTGTAAGAAGAGAGCCAGGGAGTTCACTGGTGAATGAAGACACCGTTGCTGCCCTGATGGTGCCTGCCTTTCAAGGGCAAGTTACACAAAGACAGGCATTACTTGGCCAATTGAACTTGGTGCCCTTCTAGAAGGTTCCTCAACAACATTTAAAACATTTAATACTGGGTGTGTGATCAGATAAAGTGATTCAGGACTAGAAACGAATATCTTTTAAGGAATTTAATCTGAATGCTGGTGGTTCATATCTACAATCCTAGCTACTCAGGAGGCTGAGATCTGAGGATCATGGTTCAAAGCCAGCCCGAGCAGGAAAGTCTGTGAGACTCTTTATTTCCAATTAGCCACCAAAAAAACTGAAAGTGGAGCTGTGGCTCAAGTGGGAGAGTGCTAGCCTTGATTAAAAAAGCTAAGGGACAGTGCTCAAGCCTGAGTTTTAAGCCACAGGACCAGAACATATGTGGGTATAAGTACACACACACACACACACACACACACACACAGCCCAGCAGTATCCTATTCTAGAAGTTCAAGCAGAGGAACTGGAGTATGGAATGGCTCAACACTCATCCTCGGTTGTCCTGAGACACAGGAAGTGGTACAGGATGGATGGCTAGTGTGAAGGCCGGTTGCTACTTTGGGGATAGGATGAGACAAGGCAGGCTGGGGGGACATGCACACCTCTCCCACTCACCCTGTGTTCCAAGCTCTCGATGTGCTCCCGATCTAGCTGGCTCTGGTGGGTGGAGGCAGCCAGGGCCAGGTGAGAGGCCTCTACCTCCTTGTTGAGGACTGCGACGATGTTCTCAAACACACGCAGCTTCTCCTCCAGCTCAGCCAGCAGCTTCTCCTTCAGGAAGCGCTGCAGGACCAGCTCCTCCTGGCTCTCAGAGCTGGGGGCCTGGTAGCAGTCCACCTCTACATCCCCCGTCACCTCCACAGCCGTCTGCAGCTGCAGGTGTGACAGGTTCTGCTCCAGGGCTGTGGGTCCGGAGCCTGGGCTGGAGCTGTGCTGGGCTTTCCACTGTATCATGAAACCCAGCAGCAGGTTGAGATGGGAGGCCTGGGAGGTGGCTGTATGATCCTGTGTGGACTGGGTGCTCCCCTACCAAGAGAAGAGGATCATCAGTAGAAAATGGAATAGAGAAAGGACAGGGGAGCCATAGGAAGCCCTGGCATCGAGTGCCAGAAGAAGTCAAGTACATTCCCCCAGTACAGGAGAACTGGCTCTGTGCACAGTGGAGGGGTTCAGGCAAACTTGGCATTGGCTGTGCCCATGGAGAGCACGTGCATGTGGCCCAGGCTCAAGTGAGTGCAATAGTCCAGTCCTGCTCTTGAACACAGTGATGATTCAGGACCATGGAGAGGGACATGGAGGCTCATTCTTGTGAGGCAGCTACACCAAGGCTTAGGTAGACATTAAGGAGACCTTTCCTAAATACTACAAGGACTTTAGAGTGGACTGTGAAGTTGATGTCATAGGAAAATGCTGAAGGGGCTAGAAGGAAGATCCAGATGTCAGGAACGTTGTGGACAGATTTCCTTTCTCACATGCTTACCTTGAAGGAGCAGCCCACACTTGCAAAGGGACATACGACGCCATCCTCAGATACCTCTGGGGCCACCTGGAAATAACAAACATGTGGCTGATTGTGATGGCTTCCCCTCAGGATCTCTGCAAAGCACCAGGATCCACCTAGGCAGGAGCTGGGCTGGCTTATGACTTCACACACACTGTTCCCTCTGTCTAGCTGATTCCTTTCTGCCTGATTCCTATCCTACAACCCACCCACACCATCCCTAGGAGTTTAATCCTGTGTGACCATCCTCCTGAACAGGACTAGCACAACTGGTGTCATCACAGCAATGCTACTCTTTGTCCTGTCTGGACACCCTTCATACAGCAGTGAACATAGCCAGCATTCACTCTTCAGTTGCTTCTACTGGTTTGCAGGCAAAACACTGAACAGGTATTTCTCCGAAGGAGACTTAAGAACGGCAATTAAGCCTCTGAGAAGGTAAGTCACATCAGGAGTTACCAGAGAAATGTAAATTACAACTACAATGAACGATCATTCCCCATGTGCTAACATAGACGATGATAATAAAAGCAATGATGACAGCAGGCCATGGCAACGACGTGAAGCAGTGAGAACTCCTGTGTCGCTGGAGGGGGTGGGGATGAAAATGGTACAGACACTGTGGGACCATCTACACAAGCGTCTCATAAAGCCAAACCGTACTTCTAAACAACTCACTCATAAACCATCCTACAACCCACACCATTCCATCACTTGGTGGAATGTCCAAGAGAAATTAAAACCTGTCTCCACCAAGATGTGGATATGATAGTTCACAGCAGCTTTATACAAGATCACCCCAATGGAAGGCATCTGGGCATAATCGAAGGGTGAATGAATAGACTCACTGTCAATGTCCCGTACCACAGTCCTACTTGGCAATAAATGTAACTAAATACTAATGTATTTAGTTATGGCATGGATGAACCTCAAAAACGTTATACTAAAAGCAAGAAGCCAAACACCAAAGGCTACATACTCCATGATGCCATGCTGAAGAGGTTTGAGAAGAAGCAAAACCAGTGACCCCCATGGAGACAGAAGGCCGGTGAGAAGTTCCTGAATGGGAAGGGAGAGGCTTGCTTTACAGGGACACAGAGGCTTTTTTTTTGTCTGAGACTAGGACTTGAACTTGGTATCGGACACTTTTGCTCATTGGCTGGAGTTTGACCACTGGAACCATGCCTCTAACTCCAAACAGCTTTTTCTTTCTCTCTTTTCTTTTTTTAAAGGCAGAAACATCTGCCATCTTGACTGTAGTGTGTACATTAACCGGGATTCCTCAAAGTGGATACTTAATGAGAGAATTTGCTCTCATGTGAATAAACACTTGATTTCATAAGAGCTTTTTTTTGTTTTTTTTAAAAAAACCAACAATTTGAAAGAATAATGTGGCGGAATGAACTAAAAATGAGACTTGGATGAAAGGCAGGGAGTATGGGAAGAGAGGTGTCTGGAGCGGAGCAAACAGAAAAGCCACACAAGTGATTCCTGTCTAAAAGTAAAATAAGCAGAAGGCTGCAGGGCTAATGAATAGAGTTGGTTGGGACACAGAGCCCAGCCCAACAAAGGCCAACCCCGCCTCGCCCCAGTGCCCTAAGCCTCAGGAACATGCTGTTCTCAACATAGAATAGAAAACAGATGTGCCATGGGAGTGGACTGATGGCGGTCTTGGCAGAAGATACACTGGCTTTGGGAAGTCTGGAGTGGTGAAGCCTCTGGTTATCGCTCGTGATGATTTATGAGAACAAGAGAGTCTGATGTCACGTGTGGATCCGAGGCCTGGGTGGATGGACCTGAAACCATCTCAGGTCCTCCAACTCCTCCTCGTCCATGGTTGTAATCCTTTGCATAGTCCAAGGCATGGAGCTTGCAGTGGGTCTTCAGAAGAAGGAGGACAAAGCAGCAAGCTCACACGGGAATCCCAGGTGTCACCTGTAAGGCAGGAACTGCAGTGACAGTCTACAGGGGGGAATATCACCTGGGTGTCTGGCTCCTCTTTATTACAGTGCATGGCCAGGTGGGCTGAGGCAAGCCTCAAATGTTTTCTCAAGTCCCGATGACCATCTAGGCCACCCTGTCTCTGTGGAGTCAGCCTGCCAAGTTCAGAGCCAGTTTCTGTCATGATACATAGTAGCCAAGTAGCCTCGGGAAGGTCATTATCTCCTCTACGGAAATGGGGATAATAGTACCCCCTTTGGAGTTATTGTAATGATTAAGTGAGGCAATGCATACAAGTTGTTAGTATTAGTTACCTATCATAGCTGTAATAAAACACCATGAACTTGCTGGTATAACACAACACAAATTTAGTATCACACAGTTCTAGAGGCCACAAGTTCTCACATCAAGGTGTTGGTACACCATGTTCCCTCTGAAGGCTGCAGGGGAGAGAATCTGTTTCCTTGCTTTTCTCAGCTTCTATGAGCTGCCTACATTCCTTGGCTCAGGGTCTCTTCCTCTAAGTTGAAAGCCAGAAGCACAGCATCTTTCAGCCTCTTGCTGACTCTCCTGTCTCTCTTTTTGGAGGCTGCTTGTGACTACTTACTCAGGTGTCCAGGGAAACCTCCCCATCTCCAAAGCCTTCCTTTAATTACACCTGCAGAGTCTTTCATGCCGTCATTAGGGGCTGAATATACTCTCTCATTCTTTAACTTTTTTTTAGGTCTGAGATTGGGACTCCAACTTGGTGTTTGCCGCTTTTCTCCCATTGGCTAGCGCTCTACCAACAGTCACGCCCCCAATCCCCAATCTCTCATTCTTATGTTCAAGTTTGAGCCCCTAATTTCTAAGAATCTAGAGACAAAGCCTCTAAAGAAGCTCATTAAGTTAACATGGGGATGATTCCTAATCTAATAGAACTTACAAGAAGAAACGTGGACATCGGAGACCATGTGAAAACAGAGAGGAAAAAAATAGCCATCTGCAAAACGAGAGGTCTTGAAAGAAACCAACCTGCTGACTCCTTGTCTTGGACTTACAGCTTCTAGAACTGAATAAATAACCATCTAGGGTACTTAGTTATGGCGGTTCCAGTAAATGTACGTAGCCATTGAGGTCACGTGTTCACGGGTTCTGGGGATTAGGATGTGGACACTGTGGAGGGACATTTTTCTACCTAATAGAGTTCAATCTGTGTTAGTAGCAGCATTACCAATTATTAGCAGCATACCCATGGATTAAACACTACCTTTGGCTCTACTCCAGCAGCTGCTGGCATGTACATATATCTCATTTAGTCTTCACACGTCAAACTCTTAATAACCAATTCTACAAAACTCTACTTTCCCTTTGGATTTCCTTTGGGAAGGGGACATCCTCTTAACTGTGTAAGTTCCAATAATATTTTCTAATTCTAGAAGTCCCAACATCTTTATATGCTCTCTCCTAGGATCCCAGCAAAAATCTTTGCAGTAGACGGGATGTGATTAGCTTCTTAATAGAGATGACACTATGGCCTACTCAAGGTCATATCATCCTTGTGAGCTGAGTCTGGGTCTTCTTGTCCCTGGGGTCTAGCCTTGGCAGGGCCTGTTGCTTCCACTGCATTGGGCAGGTGCTAGCCCATCAGATCTGCACATCACCATGAGGAGGGGCAGGGCTCTGAGGTCCTGCTCTCTCATAGAAGAGAAGTCAGAGTTGAGATGGCTGGAGACTTGTAGGAGGCAACAGAGGCAAAGGAAAGCCAAGAAGCCTGGAGTCCAGTGTGGTTTCTACCCACCACAGTCCTCACCTTGATCAAAGAGTGGCCCTTCTTGAAGGCCAGGAACTGCAGAGGCAGAAAGAGATCAGACTCAGGGTGCAGAGAACAGGGATGTTAAGAAAAGAAATAACCAACCCTTTGGGGTTGGAGGTGTGGCCCAAGTGCCAACGAGCAAAAGTGTGAGATACAACGTTTTTTTTTTTTTTTTTTTTTGGCCAGTCCTGGGACTTGAACTCAGGGTCTGGGCACTCTCCCTGAGCTTCTTTTTGCTTAACTACCACTTGAGCCACAGCGCCACTTCTGGCTTTTTCTGGTATGTGGTACTGAGGAATTGAACCCAGGGCTTGATGCATGCTGGGCAAACACTTTACCACTAAGCCACATTCCCAGACCAGAGATACAAAGTTTTAGGCAAGGAAAAGGAATTAAAAAAAAAAAAAAAGAAGAAGAAAAGAAAACAGAAAAAGAATGGGGACCTCTGCCCTGTGTGGTAAGTGGCCCCTATGCGAATGATTTCTCTGCTTACAAAGGCTAAACATAGCTGAAAGTGGAATTTCCTCCGAGGAGAAAACCAAAAAAGGCAAACAGAATCCCAGGCCTGAAGGAGTGCTTGTTCCAGGGCCGGGTCTGCAGAGCCTCTGGTATGTAGTATTCTGGCCACATCAGCCACCAGGGCTCTTTGTGGTCCCCCTAGGACCTCAGTGACAGCCGGTCCCAATGGGAGGCAGCAGGAGGCCTGCCCCTGTACAATCCTGCAATGAAATCAAGAGGTTCTGAATACCACAATCACCAATATGTGGGGCAGAGGTCCACTGAGGTTCTGGAGGCAGAGGGAAGGCTGGTTTCTATAAGAGCCTCAGCTGGTGCCAAGGGAAGGCACTCTGTAGTCCCAGGAGGTACTATCCACCAGTTACCTCCCTCTTCTGTACTGTTCCGGTCTGCTGACCTCTCCCACCTCCTCTAGGAAGACCTGGTAAGAGTCTTCTCATTGAAAGTAGCCTTGCCCATTCCTGTTTTCCCATAGCACTTGCTGGGATCTAGCACTTCTGGCAGACTGTTGTTTAATCATGCATAAAGCAATTGGGAGAGAGGTGTGCCACAGGCACAGAGTAGGGATGCACGGATCAGAGTGACCCCTGGGGTCAGAATCACTCGGCCTTTTGTGGCCCTCAAAGGAACCAGACTTTAGCTTGGTGCAGATGAATAAGAAATAGCTGTATGACCAATGAGGTCACTGGCATTCCAGGGAATTAATGAGCTCCCTGGCTTTGGAAGGGCATAAAACTGTGTGACAGGAACTCATATGGGATGAAAATTGGACTACTTCGCTCAGAACTCCAACTTGCTTTTGACCTTTTGTTTTGTGTGTGTGTGTGTGTGTGTGTGTGTGTGTGTGTGTGTGTGTGTGTGTGTGTGTGTGTGTGTGTGACTACTGGGGTTTGAACTCACAGCTTCATGCTCTCAGTTGGCTTTTTCATTCAAGGCTAGTGGCTCTACCACTTGAAACATATCTCTACTTTCAGCATTTTTCTGGTTAACTGGATTTTCTGGTCTCTTGGATTTGTCTGCCTGGGTTGGCTTGGAACTGGGATCCTCAGATCTCAGACTCCTGAGTCATGAGGATTTCAGTCATGAGCCATCTGCACCTGACTACTCATATTCTTGGTGTTTCCAGAGGGAAGAGTGAGGGAAACAGTCTCTCTCATGAAGGTCTCAAAAAAAAAAACAGAATTAAATGTTATTTTCCAGCCACTTGTTTGTCCCCTACTTCACTATTACTTCATCATCATCCAGACAAGAATCAGATCTCTAATTAGGTCGACATTAATCCTTTAACAGCTGCTTCTTACATTATATAACTGGCTAGTGGGTTTGGGCCCTTCTCTGGGAGCTATTAATTTAATAAAGTCAGAGGATGAGGGCAAACTGATAAGCAGATGGCATGGAAAGTGTTGGCAAGATGGGCATCTTTGGGCTTAGTTCAGCTGCTATCCAGGCAGTAAAGGCTTTACCATAAACTCTGCCATCTACTGATTACATCATTTCCCTGCTTCCCTGCCTCCATGTCTCAGCTTCCCTCAGATGATTGTTTTAGCAATTGCCATGTATCGACGTATGACCAGTTACTTTCCTTTGGTCAAAAGGCTTCCAAAGTTCTCATAGGGCCAGGGGCCAGAGAAGTTCTTGATGTTTCTACTATGTGGCTTTCTGCAGGTGTTCAGGCCATTGAGTTGCTCCAGCCTCTTCCCCCTGGTGACTGCATTGAATGGGGAAGTCAGCAGGGAGGGGGAGGGCTGGCACCTCTCTGTGGACTGTCTTGCCTCAAAGGGGCCTTTGCACTGGGCACTGATGGCTCACTCCTTTAATCCAAGCAATCAGGAGGCTGAGATCTGAGGATCCCAGTTTGAATGAAGCCCAGATAAGAAAGTCCATGAGACTCTTAGCTCTCAGATTGACCACCAAAAAGCAGGAAGTGGGCTTGCGGCTCATGTGATAGAGGAAGAGCAGAAAAAGCTAAGGGACAGCACCCAGGCTCTGAGTTCAAGCTCCAGGGCTGGTGTGTGCATGCATGCACGTGTGTGCGTGTGTGCGTGTGTGTGTGTGTGTGTGTGTGTGTGATTTTGTTCCCAAGTGCAGGCAGTGCCACTTCCTACTACTCCTCAGCCTTATAAATGTTTACAGTTCCACCACGGAAACTACTTCATTTGGATTAAGACAGCAAACTTCAAACTGTGCTCTGCAGAGCCCAAAGTCACTAGAGGCCTCACAGCGGGAGGTGGGGCTGGAATAGGAGAAAGAAACAGGGTAACACAAACGGGGAGCCAAACTCCCCCTCCATGAAAGTGCTTCTATTTCTTCTATTATATAGGATTTTACTTGACAAGCATACAAAAATTAAAGCCATTGGATTAAGTGATACTAAAACCTATCTAACCTATATTGTCTGACATTTATGATTAAGTATTATTTTTGCCAAGAATTAAGAACAATATTATAAAGCAGTAGCCCTTGAGTATGCAAGCAGCAGCCTCTCAGAAAGCACACAGCCCATACTCTTCTCTCTGCTTATGAGATATGGTAGTTTACAGTTAGTGGTCTGCTTCTGAGTCATAGGTAGTCCATGGAGACAAGCAGGGAGCAGAGAAAATTGTTCCAAAGATCAGTGGATCATCTTTGTGCCACTCCTGGGGTTTGAACTCAGGGTCCTGGAGCTTGAACTCAGGACCTGGGTGCTGTTCTTGAGCTTTCTTTTTCTTTCTTTCTTTTTTTTTCTGCCACTTGAGCCACAGTCCTATTTCTGGATTTCTGGGTGGTTAATTGGGGATAAGAGTCTCTTGATTTTTCTGACTGGCTTTGAACTGTGATCCTCAGATCTCAGCACCCTGAGTAGCTAGGATTATAAGCATGAGTCACCAGTGCTTGTCAGGACATTAATAACTCTCTTCCCCAGAGAGTATAAAGTTCCAGAAAAAAATACACTTGATCCTTATTATTCTTTTCTGAAGGCCTGATGAGAAGGAAGGGAAAACCCTTCTAGCCAGCTCTGAGAGGGGCAGGAATTATCCTAAACCTTCTGAATGACAAGAGAAAGGGGAGGAGACCTACAAACTTTCTTTCTTCGGATTCGCCAGATGGGAAGGAGATGGGGCCTGGCAGTTAGTGACCTATAACCTGGACATCACAGATCCAGAGAAGAACTTGGAGAACCAACTTAACCTTCATTACAGAGGGAGAAGCAAGGCCTGGATTTGCCTCGAGCCATGCAGAGGATCATACAAAAACCACCTCAGGACACCAGGCTCTGTATATGTGGTCCACTGTGTTACCACTGTGGTGGTAACATGGAAGGTTGTGCTGAAAGACTCAAGCCACTTGGACATTGCAGTATTGAGATCCCCCAACGTAAATAAGGAGGCTCCATATGTAAATTAGGAGGTTCAGGTTTGCACAGTGATTCCAACGTGTTTGGACTCATGGACTCATAAACTTTTGTTTTTGTTTTTAACTCGAAGATTAACATAAAATTGCCATCGTTTTATTGTACCTCGTAAAGGCTTTATCCAAAACTATCATCTACTATTGCATCATGTCATGTCTACAAAGATACGTGGAAGAAGCACATAATCTCAGAGGTTGATTCTCCAAAATGAGATAATATAGATATAATAGAGCTTTATAGAAATTTGATACAGTTTCTATATCTTTAAAAATCATTTTTGTCATGAACTGACAGTTCATAGATGAACTCTGCGTTGGACAGATACCTCCCTTCCAGCTTGAATGGGCCAGAGATGCAAACTCTATTTTCTTTAACCCCTCATACTTCCAAGGTCTATCTTGTTTGTTTGAACTGTATTTTTTTGTCTTTTCTTTTTTGGTACTGGGAATCGAACCCAGGGCACTGTACTTGCAAAGCAAGTGCTTTGCCACTACGCTACATCCCAGCCCCTAAGGCATATCTTACTCCTAGAAGCTCATTTGTGGTAGAACTCATGGCTGAACTGATAATGGCTTCTCCTTGCATCAGAGGCTGGCTGACTGTTTTGTTGCTGTTGTTGTTTATTTGTAAAAAGGCAGAGAGTAGATATTTTTGGCTTTGAAATTTGTTGTAAATATTCATTTTTGTCCCTGTGAGGCAGATAATACATAATTGAGGGGAGCTGGGAAGGTGGCTCAGTGGTAGAGCCCTTGTCTTTCATGCATGAGGCCCTGGGTTTGATTCCTCAGCACCACATAAGCAAAAAGAAAAAAGCCGGAAGTGGCGCTGTGGCTCAAGTGGTAGAGTGCTAGCATTGAGCTGAAGAGCTGAGGGAAAGCACTCAGGCCCAGAGTTCAGGCCCCACGACCGGACCAAAAAAAAAAAAAAAAAAAGAAAAAAAATACATAATTGAGTCGAGTAGTTTATATAACAAAAAAACTTTACTTACAGACATAGATGTCTGTACTTCAAATAAAATTTTCATGTGTTCCAAAATACTATTCTTTTTTTTTTTTTTTTTGTGCCAGTTCTGGGGCTTGAACTCTTGGGCCTAGGCGCTATCCGTGAGCTGCTTTTGCTCAAGGCAAGCACTTTACCACTTGAGCCATAGAGCCACTTCTAGCTTTTTTTCTGAGTAGCTTATTGGAGATAAGAGTCTCACAGATTTTCCTGCCTGAGCTGGCTTTGATTACAGGCATGAGCCACTGGTGCCTGGATTCTTTTGATTATTTTTTCCAAGCATTTAAAAAAATAAAAGGCATTCTTAGCTTGTGGGTTATACAGAAGTAGGTGGTAGGCTAGATTTAGCCCATAAGTCAGTTTGTGGTCCCTTGATTTAAAATAGTAGTTTTTATCTTAAATCTATCATGGAGCTGCCAGGTGGCTCTGGGCAAAATGCTTCCCCATTGTGAACATCAGGGTCCTCCATGCTTATGAAGTGAACTTAGTCCAGGCTCAAGACAAAGTAGGGACTAGGATGGGGATGGGGGGTGTTCATCTAGACAGTGCCTTCTTGGACTCCATCTGGACAAATCAGGAAAAGTATATGAAAGCTCTGGCTGTGCCCACGTACCTTCTCCTGAGTCAGACTGTCTGAGGTTCCAGGTTGTAGGTTGTTCCCTCCGCACTTGGGACAGATTGCATCTTGGATGTTCCTAGGGAAATGAGCAAATCCCCTGAGTGAGTCCCAGCCTGGTGGGTACCATGGATCACACGGAGCCTTCATTCATAAAATCTGAAAGCCCTGGACATCACTGCTTTCTGCCGTTTGCAGAGCTTCTTTGGCAGTAAGTACCTCATGGGAACATTGACACTTCGGTAGAAGTGCTTGGTTACTGGGTACTAACCCAGTTCTCATGAAAGGAGTATGCCATGCTCTAATTTGCTTTCTTTAAACCTGAAAAAATTCTGAATTCCAAAACATGTCCAACCCTGGGGGACTCTGGACATATAATTCTATTTTCTCCTTTCAGTGGCCTATATTTAATACGGTTTTGTTGCTGTTGTTGTTACTGTTGTTTGGTTTTTGTTAATTATAAGTGATCATGGCCTATCAGAACCAGAAAGGACCATCTAGCTGGGAGATGGCTGTGGGATTCTGATTAGGTATTGTGTAGATACCTGTGTTTTACAAAGCCCCCAAGTAATTCTGACCTACAGTGAGGACTGCTGGCCTAGGCCATTTTCTAAATGAGGAAAATGAGGGCCTGGAGGCCAGTGGATGGGCCAAAGGACAGTGAGAGCTGGCTGTCAGGCTCCTCAAGCCTCAGGCTGGGGCCCTTCATTCTCTGGCCAGCTCCTTCCTTTCCTCTGCCAGGCTTTCAGAGAATGGAGAGGGAAGCACAGATTGAACAGAAATCAGCTTGATGGGAAGAGGTCAGGCTGTATCTTTCCACCCCCTCCCCCAACCTGGCCTTTCCACCACCTGACATCGCACTTATTTCCTGCAGCTGCCCCCTTGGTTCCCCCTATTTGAACTTCTCACTTGCCTGATTCAGTTCTCCATAGTCCTAAGCTGCAAAAACCCCCCAACAAAAGGTCATGCTGGTGATGCATGGCCTTTTAAGGGAATCTCTGCCAGGAACTGACGGGGGGGGGGGGGGGGGGGGGGGGGGAAGAGGAACCACTGACTTAATCTCTCTATGAGGCTTCACTGTCTTCATCTATAAAGTAGAATAATAACACCCACCTCTCCAAGCCTTCCTGAGGATGCAAGAGCATTTTTGTATATAGCAGGTGCATAATAGTTGCTTAAGGTGCAATGCTAATGTTACTCTCAAAGTCACACACATTTCTGAGTGACTTTTACTTTAACCATAAATGTATGCATAAACATATACTTTATGTCTATATCTGTGCCTTTTATAGACTTCTTTGGAAACAAGATTAAATATATTTGTACATTTGTTATTTACCAAGGAGGTTTTCATTCATTATATTTTTTGAATATTATTATTATTATCATCATCTAAATGACAGAGCCTAGGCACTGTCATTTAGCTTTTTCACCCAAGGCTAGCTCTTTACCACTTGAGCCACAGCTCTACTTCTGGCTTTTTGGTAGTTAATTAGAGATAAGAGTCTCATGGACTTTGCTGCCTAGGCTGGCTTCAAACCATGATCCTTGGCTCTCAGACTCCTGATTAGCTAGGATAACAGGCATGAGCTATAGGCACCCAGCTAACATTTTGAATATTATTGACTGGGCCTTGTAACAACTTGGTGAGGGAGAAAATAGCTCTAGGTCAGAAAGCTGAAACTAAGAGCCATCAACATTTTGCAATGGCCCACACAGGAAGTCAGTAACTGAGTGGGCCTCAAGGCTCTGCTTCAGACCGTCTTTCCGTGACTACTTCTTACCCACAGCCAGAGGGGCAGTGTCAGGAGAGAAAGGTAGGGAAACTGCGGCTCAGAAAAGTGAAGTCACTTGTCCAAAGTCAGTGGCTCTTTCGATCCCAGTCACCTGTCAGGAATCCCTCCCTTGTACCATCTTCCCACCCACCCATCATTCATGGGCCTCTCACCTCAGATTCTCAGAGAGACAGGTTGCACAGCAGAGCACCCTGGGTTCTGATGGATCCTGGCACACGGTGAGGGGACAGCCAAAGGGAAACTCATTCTCCCCAGGGGCTGGGTGAGGGCTGCTGGCTGAGCTGGAGGCCATCTCCAAACCTCAGGCTGGCCAGGGATGGAGGGCCAACCCTGTGAAATCCGTGGAGGAAAGCAGAGGTGGGCCTTTGGCTGGGCCACCCTCTCTGGTGAGCAGGAGGTCTCTGGTGACTTTATCTTCCCCTCTCTGGCTTGTGTAGTTCCACGTCACAAGCTGAGTCACAACAAGGATGGGGTAGGAATTACCCTTTGTGGTGCAGAAAAAAAAAAAGAAAAAAAAAAATCCCCTGGACGGTGACTGAAGGCTTTGGGAGTGTCCAGTTATTTTTCAGAGTGAAAAAGGAGAAAGAGAAGCATGTCATAGATGCTGAGTTTCCCTGTCTAAGAACCACAGGGCAGATGGCTGCTGGCTTCCTCCACCTCGTGGGGCTGGCTTGCTGTCTGAGCCCCTGGAGGGCTCTCAGTGGGGGCACTCACCTAGGCAGAAATCCCCAGCGCTCTGGAGGCAGGTCCAAAAAAACCCAAGTTCTAGACCTTTCAGTTCTATCCTCTTCAGAGTGTCTGGTTGACCTGGGGGGGGGGGGGGGGAGTCACTTTCTCATGGTGGGTCTCGGTTACCTCATCTGCAAAGAAACAAGTCAATGGTGTCTGGGCTATATGACCTTAGGAACTCAGGACCGGAAGTAGCCAGAGGCATGAAGATAGGGCTCAATGATTTAACCAGGCCTTGTGGCATTCTGCATCAGCATGACAGTGACAAACAAGGTCCTCCCCTCCTTTGAAGTCCAAAGCTCTGGGACCTCAGACTCTGCAGAGCCTTCTAGCTACAACCCTACTCAGGAAGTCATAGGCAGCTCCCTGCTCAGCTTTGGAGGTCACCACTTCCCTGCCCCCCACCCCCAAAAACAAAGCATTAAACGAGGCCAGAATTAAGTGGGCTGTAGCTTCACATATATGGGGGGAATAAGCATGCTAACCAGACTGCTGTGTTCTGGCCAGTGGGGTTTTTTCCCCCTTCCAATCCTTGCAACATTCTGTTGGGAATTCTTCTGTACTCATGAACAGCCCAGAGATGCAAGATGTGTGTTTGGACATCACACAGTCTCTGGTGGTGGTGGGAGATTCAAAGCAGGGTTGTGGATTTCCAGATTCAATGTGTTTCCACTACACAGGGGATGAGAGCCAGGCAGCTTGGTGAAGCCTTGGAGACCAGGATGAAGGTCAGAGCATCCAGCTCATCTCATCAAGCAAAGGCAAAGATCCCTGAACACCCTCCAGGGCTGCAATGAGGGCTTTGCAAATCCTGGCCCTTTGAGTTCAGACAGATCGGAGTTGAGATTCTGGGTCTACCACTGACTAGCTGTGGGTTCTGGAACAAGAGCTTTAATTTCTCTGAACCTCAGTTTCTGCATCTGTAAAATGGGGATGATAATACCTACTTCACCCAATTGCTGTGAAGATAAAACAAGATAGTGGGAGAATGTGTAGCAAGTGACAGGCCTGAAAAGCTTCGATACTTTACCCAGCTGATTGGCAACACAGCCAGGTTGCTCCCCCAAAACCAGAGGAGAGGATTTAAATGACAAGTTACATTTATATAGTGTTCCATACCTACCAACTTAGCCCAAGTCTCCCAGGTAGGCAGGAGAGGTTGCACGTTGTCATCTGACCCTAGAGAATTTCAACTGCCTGCTTTCCCTGGAATGGTATGATGGCTGCCCAGGCACCAAGGGCAAAGAGCTCACCATATCCTATGGCTACAGAGTAAATCAGGACTTCCACCTTCACCTGGGCCTTCTCTGCAAACTGGCTTGATGAGCCCTAGGACTGTGAGGAAGACATGCCTTCCACTTCATGTCCCAACCTGCAAACTCTTGTCCCCCCCCTTCCTCCCTTAGCCCCTCCCTCCTTCCCTCCCTCCCTCCCTTGCTCCTCCTTCCATTCCCCAGTTTGGGACAGAATAGACACCCAAGCTTTATTTTCCCCCTTACCTGCTCCTTCCCAGCAGCAATCAAAATACACCCCCGCCCCCCAGGCTGCTCTAATACACACAAAAAATAATAGTTACTACTTCTTCTTCTTTTTTTTTTTTTTTGTCAGTCATGGGGCCTAAGCTCTAGGCCTGGGTGCTGTCCCTGAGCTCTTCAGCTCAAGGCTAGCACTCTACCACTTGAGCCACAGTGCCACTTCTAGCCTTTTCTGCTTATGTGGTGCTGAGGAATCAAACCCAGGGCCTGAAGCATGCAAGGCAAGCACTTTACCACTAAGCCACCTTTCCAGCTCCAATAGTTACTTCTTTTTACTGATGTGTTAAGTACTTCTATAGACACCATCTCATGGGAGTTTCTCCTGGCCCTCCTGAGGTGTCCCCCACCCCCATCTTATAGTTGAAGGAACTGAGGCATAGAGACAGGTTAAAGGAATAAGAAACACCCTCAAGGTGCCAGAGCAGGCGAATCAAGGAGGCCTGATCGCAGAGCCTGTGCGCTAACCACAGAGGCTTTAAAAGGCCCTCCACCCTCAAACCAGATTCCTCTCCTACATCCGTCTAGTCTCTCCTCACCCAGTGGTGAACATCCTAGAAAGGACTGTGTGCTCACCTGCCTGAATCTCCACAGAACCCTCTTCTCAGCAAGTAATGGATGTCAGATTGTCAAATGCCTCTGGGCCCCGTCCCAGCTCTCTTTCATTCTTTCTCCTCCAACCCCATTTAAAGATCAGGTCCCACATACAGTCCCAGCTAGCCTGGAACTCACAGTCCTCTCTCCTCAGCCTCCGCGGCCCTGGTATTACAAGCGTGCCACCCCAAGCCTGGCCAGCTCCGTCCTAATTTCTGCCCTATTAGCCCTCTGGCCAGCCCCTGTCTTCTCCTAGCCCTTGGGGGTGGGAATCGGGTTTTTCTCTGGCTTCCTGCACCCCCTGGGAGCGGGGGTGGGGGTCTCTCTTTGAGCCTCCTCCAGCTGATCTTTGAGCCCCTTCCTTTCCACCTGGAACCTCCAACAGTCCCATCTCCGTGGCTCCATCTGCTCCTGGGACCCCCCCAGCCTCCTAGGCAGCTTTTTCGGGTGCATCTGGGCACCTTGTCTGGAAGTCTCAGTGAGTTGCGCCTGGCTGACCCCAAGGCCCCCCACCCCGGCTGCTGCTGAGCCCCCTGAGCCCCGCACCTCTCCATATTCAGGGATGAAGGGGACCCGGAGTGCCCAGACTCCGCAGGAATGGGGGTGCACAGTCAGGGGCTCGCTCTGCAGCGGGGGATCCCCGGCTCTACCCCCCCTCCAGACACGGTGGGGCAGTGCAGTAGGGGCGGGATGGGCGCTGTCCCTCCCCCGCCCCGTCCCCCGGGGGGGGGCGGGAAGGGGTGCAGGACAACCAACCTGGGCGCCAGGGCCGCCGCCGCGTCCTCGCAGCCCTGCCGGGAGCTTCCGGCAGGCCTGGGAGGACTCGCCCGGGCTGCGGAAGCCACGGGAGGCCGGGCTGGGGTGGGGAGGTGGGGGGAGGGCGGTCCCTGGGGCGGGGCGAGCGCTCCCCAGCTGGGGAAACTGAGGCCGGGTAGCTAACCCGCTTGTGGCTTCCTCTGCACGCCGTGCTCGGCGCCCCGCGCCTGCACCTATTTAGGTGCTCAGTAAAGGAATAAAGCAATGCACACCTGGCCTTGGAGGTCTCCCCTGCTGCCCGCCCACAGTGGGCGCTAGAGCCTGACCCCCCTCCTGGGATCCGACGTCCCTCCTGGCTCCCAGGCCTGATGGGTTGGCACAGTCGGGGGGGGGGGGGCAGGTGCTCAGCTGTTCTGCAGGCCAGGGGCGCTTTGCAAAACCGGGTGCTTTAAGGACCCGTTTCTGCTTTTTAGTCTAAACACACCCCGTGCCTGCGTGCACCCCAACCCTCTCTGGGCCTCTTATCCCCTGTGCGTCTGCAGGGGAATGTCGGGCAGGGACATGTGGATCCGACCTCCAGAAAGCAGGCTTCCCCATCTTGCTGGTTCTATTTGAACTTCTCAGAGGCACTCTTGAAGCTCACCTTAGCTATTAGGTATGCTTGTGTCTTGACTTTTCTAGATTTGGTGGTGGTTCTGAGATTTGAACCCAGAGCCATGTGCTTGCTAGGCAAGCCTTCTGCCACTGGAGCCAAGCTCTTATGGCTAAGGTTATTTTTTTTTTAGCTGGGCACTTGACTTTCTCCCCCGCCCCCCCCCCCCCCAAGTGGCCCTGGACCACAGTCTTTCTATTTATGCTTCTGGCAGCTGGGTGGCAGGTGGTGGCCCTACCCGGGCTGCTGCTTCTGTTTTTCATTTGGGGATGCTAGTAAGTCTCTCTCCCAGGGCAGGCTGAGTTGCCATCTTGCTTCTGGAGTGGTCAGTGTTGTAGGAAAGCCTCTGGCTGGTACAAGGAGGATTTTGGAGCCTCACAGGGAACGGATGCCTGCTTGAAGACCAAGAGAAAATTCACATAACCTGTGCATGGGGTCCAGAGGTGGCCTCGGTGGGGCTTTTCAGTTAGTTTTTATTTGTTTTGAGACAGGGGCCTGTTAAGTAGGTCAGGTTGGACTTGAACTCAGAATCTTCCAGCCTCAGTCTGTCAAGTACTGGGTTCACAGAGGTCTATCTCCATTCACGACTTGGACCTCTGATTTTAAAATTCATTGAATCATACTCTAATCCCTCACGTGTTGTCTTCTGGTCCCGCGTGGTTCCACCCCCTTCCTGCGTGTCCCATGCCAGCTTCAGTGAGAAGAGCAGACAGTCTGATCTCATGTCCTTTGTGTGCCACATCCTGTTTTCAGATTAGTGAGCTCATTCACTGGAAAATCACCAAGGGAGACAGTTTGATTTTGGAAAGTACCAAAAACTTATCTGTACTCACTCATTTTAATTTGAGGGGCTCTTTAAATACAAGGGGGGGGCATCACCAGTGGGCTTGTGAATGACCAGTACCAGCAAAGCTATAGAAACTGAAAGTCAAACTTGATTCAGAAAGGAAATAAAACCTCTTCATTACCACTCATTTCTCTACCCAGTAGAATTTGTGTGTGTGTGTGTGTGTGTGTGTGTGTGTGTGTGTGCGCGCGCGCACGCACATGCATACACTGTTAGTGGGGTCTTGAACTTGGAGCCTTATACTTTTTTTTTTTTGGGTCCGGTCATGGGACCTGCACTCTGGGCCTGGGCGCTGCCCCTCAGCTCTTCAGCTCAAGGCTAGCGCTCTACCACTTGAGCCATAGCGCCACTTCCAGCTTTTTTTTCTTTTTGCTTATGTGGTGCTGGGGAATCGAACCCAGAGCCTCAGGCATGCAAGGCAAGCACTCTACCACTGAGCCACCTTCCCAGCCCGAGCCTTATACTTTTGCTTGGGTTTTTCACTCAAGGTTGGTGCTCTACTACTTGAGTCACACTTCCACTTCCAGCTTTTTGCTGATTAATTGGAGAGAAGAGTCTCAGGAACTTTTCTGTCCAGGCTGGCTCAGGACTAGAATCTAGCCTTCTGAGTAGCTAGGGTTAAAAGCATGAGTCATCAGTACCCAGCTTAGATTTTTTTT